GATGTGACATGGGAGACGTGTGATTATTTCTGAAGACTGAACTATCTCCATGTGACTATGTTGAAGACTGGAGATGGGATCCTTAGGTAGGCAGATGTTTAACCATTTCCTCCCATACCTTTTATGTGATTTAACCCCTGCTTTCTGAAGCTGTAATTAGTTCCACAGGGCAGGGGAGAAGCAGAGGAAATGTACATGTCTGTTTTTTCCTTATGGTGCTAGCTGCATTTTTTTTTTTTGAAAGAAGGGTCTCATCGGTCATATATACTTTGATCCTGAGCAACATACAGTATCTTAACATTGTATCTGAGCCCACTGTGAGTACGTTTTGATTCTAATATGCATCTAGCCAATCAAGTAATATATCCAGTTCTCCAAGGGATTTTGTTGCTGCAGATGTGACATCCATCTAAAAATTGAAATGAAAATTTAGTAAACAACCAACCAAGACATATAGTATACTCACATGTAATGACTACATCCAAACCAAATCAGTATAGTTTGGATCCGATGAACCTATTCCACCAGTGACTGAGCCTTCCCCTGTCACAATGAACCTTCTGCTGGCAGAACATATCTCTTTGGCCACAGCAAGGCTGCTTGCACCAGCAAAAAATTCACTCAAAGGTCAAGATCCAGCCCTTTCAGTTTATGTGCATTGTTGTTATTACCATCATTGCCAACAAATTCTATATCACTTTGAATAAGAAAAACTACTTTAACATTCATCTGTCGACTTATATTCTGTGTAAAATTTAAAATGTTGATAAAACATTTATAAAGCACCTTGAGGACTAGCTGCCATACATCTATTGACTGATAAGTTTACCTGCTCATAGTTGAGGAGAATCTGCTCAAATTTGTTCATTGCAATCTCTCCACAGTTGCACATATTGTGGTCTTCCTAGAAAAATATAATTAAACTAATTAGATGCCTTTAGTTGTTGTTCCAGCCTCATTCTATCAGGTAAGGCTGTACTACAGTGTACACATGATTTTTATTTCAGTGACTACTAGTGACACACAGGGATAATACAACCAGCTCCAGGAATGCTGCTGCTTTGGGACTACTTCCTTACCCATTGTTCAACATCTATATTTGAATAATAGAAGCACATGATTGGAAGGGGCATTATAGACCATCAAGTCCAACCCCTTGCTCACTACAAGAAATCCAAAGTTGCAACATCCTCAGAAGAAGGCTGTCTAGCCTCTGCTTGAAGGTCCCCCAAGTCTGCAGGCAGTAGACCTAGTTTGCGTGATGGAGACCTGGGTGAGGCTAAACGGTCGCCCTAAGTCAACTGGCCCTTCCAGGTTTCTCAGTCCTTCACCAGTCTCAGACTGATGGGCGGGGGCAGGTGGCGTTACTCATCCGGGAGGCTTTCTCCTTCAAGCCACTCCCTGAGGCAAGGATTGCCGGCCTTGAATGTGTTGGCCTAGTGTGGGAGGCCGAGGAGAGTTTGGCCATTTGGTTGGTGTACCATGTCTTGCCAGACCTGTTGGAAGCTGTATCTAGCTGGGCCTTGCAGTATCCCAGGCTTTTAGTCCTGGGAGACTTTAACGTCCATGCAGATGATGCAGCCTCCTCTCAGGCCTTGGACCTAGTGTCATTCATAGTGACACTGAGACTCTCCCAGTTTGTTTCAACCCCCACACACCAAGCAGGCCACACGCAGGATCTTATCTCTGCATCGGGAATTATGGTGGACCGGATTACTGCTGAGTCAGTTCCATGGTCAGACCACCTTGCTCTGAAGGCTCAGCTGGGTTTCCCTAACCCTCCCTGTTTAGGCAGCGAGTGAATTTATGCTAGCCCGCAGGGTCAAATGGACCCTAATTGGTTCTAGGAAGCTCTACAGGATCCAAGTCCCTCTGGTGACTTGTTAGATGTGCTGGTGGAAGACTGGTACTCCCGTCTTTCCAAAGCCATCGACGAAGTTGCTCCCCGGCGCCCTCTTTGCTCTCATACCAAACTAGCTCTGTGGTATATCGCAGAGCTAAGGAGGATGAAACGAGAGCTAGACTAGAGAGAGGGTGGCGGCAAACTCGTGACGAGGCTACAAGAACATCCTATAGGTGATTTATGAGAACCTATGAGATGGCAGTGAAGGCCGCAAAAAGAAATTTCTACGCATCCTCCATTGCATCTGCTAGTTCTCGCCCAGCCCAATTATTTACAATTGTTCGGACATTAGCTGTTTTGCCTCAGGGCATACCAAATGTTAGGGAATTGGCTATTGGCTGTGAGGCATTTGCGAGCTATTTTGCAGACAAAATTTTGTCGATCCGCCACGACTTCCCATCCACCATTGATACAATAAGAGAACTGGAAGCCCATTGGCCGTCTTCAGGTCCAGTTTTGGACTACTTCAGTCTGCTTTCCCAGGACGAAGTCGACAAGATCCTGAATGCTGTTAAGCCTACTACCTGCCTCCTGGATGCCTGCCCATCATGGCTGGTTAAGGCCTGCGGCAATGAGGTGCGGATCCCTCTGAGGGAGATTATTAATCTGTCCCTTTCAATGGGGACCTTCCCAGAGGGACTCAAGGAGGCAGTAGTCCGTTCTCTCCTTAAGAAATCTCCCTTGGACCCGATGGTCCTTAATAACTACCGCCCAGTGTCCAATCTACCATTCCTGGGTAAGGTGGTCAAGAGGGCAGTATCAACACAACTTCAGGTGTTCTTGGATGAAGCTAAGGTCCTGGATCCCTTCCAGTCTGGTTTCCGCCCTACCCATGGCACAGAGATGGTGCTGGTCACCCTGGTGAATGACCTCCAGAGACATTTGGACCAAGGCGGTTTGGCGCTGCTGATTCTGCTCGATCTATCGGCAGCAATCGACATGCTGGACCATGAGGTGTTAACCCACCGCCTGAACGATTCTGGAATACAGGGACTTGCCTTGCAATGGCTAGCCTCCTTTCTCCAGGGTCAGGGACAGAGGGTGGCACTTGGGGGGGGGAGTTATCCCAGTGGTACCCACTAGAATGTGGTGTCCCACAGGGTGTGATCCTCTTCCCCATGTTGTTTAATAGCTATATGCACCTTCTCACCCAGATCATCTGGAGATATGGGCTGGGTTGTCACCAGTATGTGGATGACACCCAGCTCTATCTACTGATGGACGGCCACCTCGACACCGCCCCAGGACATCTCGATGAGGCGTTACAGGCCGTGGTTGGATGGTTACGACAGAGCCAACTGAAGTTAAATCCTTCTAAGATGGAGTTCCTGTACCTGAGTCACGGGGGGTTGAGTCAGGGGTTCAGGCTCCCAACCTTCGATTGGGCTCTACTGGTGCCTACATTGAGTGTGAAGAGTCTGGGGGTGTTCCTGGATACCTCCCTTTCTATGGAAGCCCAGGTCACCACCACTGCCAGGTCTGCCTTTTTCTATCAGAAAGTTAGCCCTGTATCTTACTCCCCAAGACTTAGCTACAGTGACCCATGTAATGGTCACTTCCAGATTAGATTATTGTTAACTCTCTCTACGTGGGGCTGCCCTTGACTCTGCTCTGGAAGTTGCAGCTAGTGCAGAATGCAGCAGCGAGATGCAGGCTCGTATCCACCCAGTCCTGCGTGAACTGCACTGGCTGCCTATTGAATTCCGGATCCATTTCAAGGTGCTGGTGCTTACCTTTAAAGCCCTATATGGCCAGGGGCTGGCATACCTATGAGACCGCCTCTCCCCATATGAGTCCCAGAGGGCACTGAGGTCCACAAATCAACATCTGCTAGTGGTTCCTGGCCCCAGGGATGTCTGACTAGCCTCGACCAGGGCCAGGGCTTTTTCAGCCCTGGTCCCTGCCTGGTGGAATGAGCTCCCATGTGAGATCAGGGCCCTGCAGGACCTACTACAGTTCCACAGGTCCTGCAAGACAGAGCTCTTCCGCCAGGCATTTAGTTGAGGCAGTGGACATCCCCCCCCCCCAGCTTCTCTGGCCTTAATTCTTCTGACTCAACTTTTCTGGCCTATTGTCCATCAATGGCCTGAGTCGGATTGGTCATCTGATTGTTTTATGGTTACATGGTATTCTATGATATTTATATGTAAATTGTTATTTTAATATTTTAAGTGTATTATTTAACTGCTGTACACCACCCTGAGCCCATCTGGGGAGGGTGGTATATAAATCTAATAAAATAAAGTAATTGGCTTCACTGTCAAAGTGCTCTAATAGTTAGCATGTTTCTCCTAATGTTCAACTGAAAAATATCCTCCTATAATTTAAGTCTTCTAGATTTAATTTTGCTCTTACTACATGTATGTTACGGATATCTGTTACAAAAGACAGTGCATCCTAAGCCCCAGCTCAAAAGTCTGAGGATGCTGACTAGCAACTCTGGCACTATACACGGGGTTGTCATGTGCCTATTGGTGGTGGGGGGACCTGCATCAGCACTTTCTTGTCCCCAGCCAGCACTTTATGGGCAGCTGGGGGAATGGGGGATGACAACAGTGTCCTGCCATTGCTGTGATGTCACTTCTGGCTGAGTGACTGGAAGCAATATCACTGTGTCACAGGATGCTATAGGATTCACCCCAAACTCTATCGTTTTTACCACAGAGCTTCGGATGAATCCTAGAGCATCCTGAGATACAGTGACATCACTTCTAGTTTTGCAGCCAGAAGTGATGTCACAGCCTCACAGGATGCCTTTAGGGTAAGTCCCAACCCCATAGTCTCACAGGGATTGCTAGTTGAGAGATGGCAACCCTAACTGCACCAGCCCTGTGCCAGTGTTGTGCCACTGAGACATCACCATTGTGTTCTTATGAAGCGGCTGCGGTGCCCATTCTCTATTATTATCTTCAAAGCAAACTGATTTCTGTAAAGCTGCCTTGAAACTTTCTGCTGTTTAGTAAGGGAAATGTCATCATAATCAAATGTCGCTATTGGTCAGCACTTTAATTTCTACCCCACACTAATAAATATCCAGGGAAATGTATTTATTTCATGCAAAAAAGATAGCTTCTATGATGCAAGCATGTGACTTACACATTGTCTGAGTTGCTTTTCTGTGCTGAGGAAGGAGTTTGCTATGCCACTAATTTTCCGATTAACGTGGAGGTTTTCTGTCTCACATTGCCTGAACACTTTGTCCATGTAGAACTTGAAGATGAGATGGATGAGGCAACATCTATCTAAAGACTCCAGGAAGAGGATTTTGTGTTAGTAAAGCACTGTAGAACCAAGTTTCAGACATTGGTAGCTGTAGATTTGTAGATAGGCAAAATTTAAATTGGGAAATGGCTTCCCTTACATAACTTCCCTTACATTAACTCACCAGCCAGCTGAAATCCCCTTGGGATGATTGGAAGATGGGAATAAGAAGGAAAAGGACAATAACATCTGGGTATATCATTTTTCTTCAGGGAAGGGCTGCTGACAGGGTAAGGGCAGCAGGCATACCCTCCCACCTAGGAATTTTCCTAAATGCAGGCCTTTTAACTTGTGGCATCTCCTTGTAGCCTCCTAGCACTAGATGCTGGGGGGGAGAGGTCTTCTAAGTCATCATTGAATGGGCTGCAAATCACCTTGAAGGAAGGCCTGAGAATAGCAGTACCTCACAAGAACACAAAAGCAGCCATGCTAGAACAGATGAATCTTGCAGTCTAGCTTCCTGTCTCATATAGAGGCCAACCTCTCCACTGGCCAGCATTGTTTAGGCCTCTCTCCCAGCAACACCATATCCACTCTCTCAGGCTTTTTTCCTTCTGCTCACATAGCCCAATCACAGAAGCTTTTGGGGGCTCCCTTTCCTTGCACTGATAGGTGGGAGTGCTGAGAATGAGGCCCATGCTGGCCAGGAAGAAAGAGCTGTTCTCAAGTGTTCCCCCTCCCAGAGTGCCAGTACTAATCTACAGTGAAGTGGGCTGAGGCCACACAAGATTAGGACAGAAGCCAGATGCAGCCTGAAGAACCACCAGTTGTGGAACAACCTGTTTAAAAGGTAATTTATTACAAATGCGTGATTGCTGCTTATTAGTGATGCAAGAGCTGCTTGGGTCAGACCCTTCAGAAACAATGGTGATTGGTGTCAACTCCCTCTCCGTCTCCTCCCACACCACTGCCAGTTTGGGGCAGTGCAGAAACTGATTACATTTGGTCAGGGGTCATTTCGTAGAAAAAGAGCTAGGGGGACTCATTAGCATAACTCATTAGCATATGCCACACCCCCTGACATCACCGGAAGTGTGTCATAAGGCCACACCCCCTGACATCACCAGAAATGTGTCATAAGGCCACACACACCGCCCCCAACGGTCCCGGCCGCCACTGCCGGCCTTCCCGCGAAGGCCCTCCCTGGCCCCAGGCAGGCAGGGGTGGGGAGAGGCAGGGAGGAAGCAACTTACCCTCCCTCTTCTCCTGCCTCCTCCTGGCTGAATGTGGGACGGAAGCGGGGCGGCCGGAAGAAGGGGGCGGGGCTTCATCATGTGCCCCGCCCCCCGTACCTCACTCGGGGGAACTGTGTTCCCCCGCGTTCCCCCCCGAAATGACCTCTGCATTTGGTGGAGCTGACGCCCTTCTTAGGATCTGCAGCCAGGCCTGAAACCTGCTGGCTTCCAGTTCCACAGGGCTCATTTAGCATGGCTTGCTTTTTGGCCACTGACATTTCTCCTCAGCCAGTCTCTTTTCAGATCCCTGCTCTGCTTCTCTACATGAGTTTGAGGTTGCCAATATCTTTCACCTTACACTATCTCACAGGGTTGTTGTGAGGATAAAATAGAGAGGGAAGAACTATGGAGGTGCCTCAGGGGAAGGTAGGGTTGCCAAGTGCATCTTCGCTGGGAGCGGGGGGCTCCCGGCCGGCGTCTGGTGCGTGTGCGCGCGCAAAGCGCGTGCCGCACACACATCACCCGGAAGTGACGGGAGGATGCCAGGCACGCTGGGGGCGGGGCCACAGCCATACAAGGGAAAACCATAGAGTTTTCCCTTGTATGGCCATGGTCCCGCCCCCAGCATGCCTGGCGTGCCCACGTCACTTCCTGGTGACGCGCACGCAGGGCTGGGGTTTCCCCCGGGGCCCGATTCTGTGGCGTCGCAAATCGGGCCTCCAAAGCGGGGGTTTACCCGCCACCCGCCCCCACTTGGCAGCCCTAGGGGAAGGGTGGGATAAAAATGTGATATATAGATAGGAAGATGTTTAATTTAGGCTTCTTTGGCAACAGTTAGACAAACAGACACTACTTGGCAACTGGTATAGAAATTAGGTGTAAGAAAATCACTGATTTTCCTTTCATTTCTTGGAAGTCTCATCTGGAAATGTAGTAGCCCCACCTAGCAAGAAAGGCTGGTTGCACCCCTGCTTCAAGGCATCCTGCTTTGGTGAAGAGTTGTTAAACCTCCATTCTCTGCATAGATTCTTCTTACATCCTGCTCTGTAACTCAGGGGGCTAAGGCAACATCTTCACTGACACCTTCTATTCTGAATTTGAAGCCAAAAAGGAAGATACAGTGGAAGAGCTCTAGGGAGCAGACAGGTTGGATTTCATCCTTTGCCCTCTTTGCTGCAAGATAAACCATCTAACTATGTTGAGCACTTATAAAAATGTGTATCAGTTTCTGTAAGGCATCTTATCAGGGACTAGAGAGTGGGACCATGATAAGACACTGATTTCATTCTATCAGATTTCACTGCAGTGCTTCCCAAGCAACTGGAGACTCTTGTATAAAACTCTCAGATTAGAGGCAGGGAGCAGCTCTTGTGTTTGTCATCATCACTGGAACCTGATTACATTTGTTTATTATTGCATGGTCCTGCTGGAGGCATTGTCTTTGGAAACAGACTATTGGAGCTGCTTGCTGCTATTAGATATTGTGGTATGTATCATAACCACTGAATATTCTAACCGTAGTGTCTATTTAGATTCCAGTGCAGGAATTTATTTTGCCTCATTTAAATGTAAATAGATGCCACAGTTGGGGTTTTAGAACATAAGAACATAAGAGACGCCAATGTTGGATCAGGCCAAAGGCCCATCCAGTCCAACACTCTGTATCACACAGTGGCCAAAAATATCAGGTGCCATCAGGAGGTCCACCAGTGGGGCCAGGACATTAGAAGCCCTCCCACTGTTGGCCCCCCCAAGCACCAAGAAGACAGAGCATCACTTGCCCCAGAGTCCCTATCTATACCTTGTGGCTAATAGCCACTGATGGACCTCTGCTCCAGTCTTCAGTGATTATGAAAAGTGTCTCAGTGTCTGATATTAACAAGCAGCTCGCATCATAATGTCCTTTCCAAAGACGGTGCCTGCAGTAGCACATTTCAGTTACCTTATTTATACAATACCTTTGTGGTCATTTTCTTATAAGCACAGCTGTATGTTTTATCTTAGTCATTCTGAGTGTTTGGGTGGCATTGGGAAATATGGACATTACCACCCCCAGCCAATGCTCCCTCTAAGGCGTGGAGTCTTGTGAGCAAAAATTCTACTTTGTGAGCTACTGGCATTAAAGTTGTGAGCAGGTGATTTGGCTGCTGCATAAATTAGTTTGCTCTGGAACCATCCTTCCTGAGCGAAGACAAAAATGTGTGAGCCGGAGGCTAAAAAACTTTGAGCTAGCTCACACCAACTCAGCTTAGAGGGAACACTGCCCCCAGCTAAGGGTAGTTCATTCTATCAGAGAAGAAGAAGAAGGAGGAGGAGGAGGAGGAGGAGGAGGAGGAGGAGGAGATTGGATTTATAACCCGCCCTTCACTTGGAGTCTCAGAGCGGCTTACAAACTCCTTTCCCTTCCCCTCCCCACAACAGACACCCTGTGAGGGGGTGGGGCTGAGGGAACTCTGACACAAACTGCTCTTTTTCAAGGACAGCTGTGCCAGAGCTTGTGACTGACCCAAGGTCACATCAGCAGGTGCAAGTGGAGGAGTGGGGAATCAAACCCGGTTCTCCCAGATTAGAGTCCGCACACTTAACCACTACACCAAACTGGCTCTCACTTTCCATGCCCAAAGAAGTCTCAGGTGCTGGCCCAATGTGCCTTGAGCAAATACAGTACACTGCCTTCAGCTGAGCAGAGCGGTAGGATACAAGCAGCAAGTAAAATGATTGATCATCTTCTAGGTTCACAGAGATGTTTGCCATGAAACATTATTTTAAACATTATTTACTAGAGTTGCCATCCTTCATGTGGAGACTGGAGTTCTCCCAAAATTACAAGTATCCTCCAGACTACACAGATCAGCTCCCCAGACTACAGAAATCGTCACCTCAAGCAAATGGCATCTTTCAGGAGGGAAGGCTGTATGGCACCACATCCAGGGCCAGCTCGCTCACTAGGCAAACTAGACGTTCGTCTAGAGCACAGGGCCATCATGGGGGTGCCAGGCCGGGGAGGGGGGCGCCGTGATGCCCCTTCCCTGGTCCCCTGCCGCCCGGCTGGTCCCACACCAGCAAAGCAGATGCGCCACCAGTCTCTGGCTGCTCGGCCTCTGGCTGCTCGCACTGCAGGTGCCCATGGCCCAGGCTGAGGGGGCCGAGCCGGCCGCTGGCCTCCGCAATGATGATGACAGTGAGCCCAGCCCGCGGGTGGTGTGCCTTCAAGGGCACAGACCCTCCGGCCGCCACGGCTCAGCCTACCGAATCAGCCACCAGAGCTCAGTCGAGATGGGCATGTGGGCGGTGGGCAGCGAGACCCCCCCGAGGTGGGCCTCTCACCCCCGCTGCTCTCCCCAGCCGAGGGCCGCCACATTCGCCACCCACACTGGGTGCAGCAGGAGGAGAGCGAGGAGTCCGAGACCCGTGCTGTTGCCACCTCCCCCGATGGCCACTTCCGGAAACTGCCACAGACTCTGAGGGCTTTGGAGCGCCAGCCAAGAGTGCATTCCTTGGGGATCTGCGGAGCTTGACGAGCCCCAACACCGCTCTTTCGGGACCGGGGCCTCCGGGGGTGATCGCCTGGGGGGGAAGTGTGGGGCGGCAAAGGAGGGTGGGCTGGGGAGGAGGCCATGGAGGTGTGGACGATTGCCGCAAACTTGCCTGGAGGTTGGCAACCCTGTAATTGGTGGGGGGGGGGCGCCAGAAGGTAGCCTCGCCGAGGGTACAAAAAACCCTGGAGCCGGCCCTGACCACATCCCCACTGAGCTCCCTCCCCTCCCCAAACTCCACTCTCCCCAGGCACCCCCGCCAAATCTCCAGGAATTTCCCAAGCTGGAATTGGCAAACCAAACCCAGAAGTAAGTCCCACTGAGTTCACAGTGGCTTCCTCTCCAATAAGTGCACTTAGGTTTGCAATTTAATGGGCAAATATACCACCTCTGCAGCAATTATCTGAATGTACAGTAGCCTACAATTCTAGAAAGCAACTCCGTTTTTAAATATAGCTTTCAAGAAAGCATGAGTGTCTCCTGATGATCATTTATTTGCATAGGTCATGTATAACTTGTGCTCATTAGGTGCTGAACATCAATATGTTTTTCCTCTAGGAAATACTGCTACTTAAAGACCCCAAGAAAGAAGCTGAATCCTAAAAAAAAAAAAAAAATGACACTAGCAACTTGCATTCAAAAGAAAAAGAAGTTAGAGGGACAAAATGTGAGTAAGGAGGCAAGTACCAGAAAACAGGACCATCCCTGGTAAAATTGATGCATTTCTCCCAATAATAGTGGAATCGTGTGCTATGGTAGAATGTGCAAAAGAATTTCGTACTCTTTGCTTTCATTTAGGTCCCACCCTTTCTCCCAGGAGCTTGTAACAACATATGAAAATACTCTGATTTCATTCTGAAAAGAACTCTGTTGGGTAGGGTAGGCTGAGAGAGATAGTGGCTGATCCAAGGTCAACTGGACAGCAAGATTATCATAACTGAGCCGGGACTGGAATCTACACCTCCCCTATGTAAATCAATCCAAGAAATGTTATCCACTATCTGATACACCACACAGACTCATAAAATAGATTAAGCGGGGGGAAAACAAGTGAAAGATGTAGCGAAAGATTCAAGTACTTACTTGAAAATCATGCAAAGAAGGTGGGTTGGAAAGAATGCTTGTTGTCCTGATGGGATCTCTGGCTTGCTAAATAGGAAGAGAGAAAATCCAGTCTGATGTGGCGCTTTTCACTGCACTGATCATTAAACAGCTAAAGCCTAATATAAACAGTAGGAGGGGCTGACTCGTTTAGCATAATAATAGGTTTCAACTTGAAAAAAATGTAACGAGGGCAGTCATCGTTACATTTTCCCTGTTGCTAAGGCTGACTTTCATAGTGCTAAGATATCACTGGACTGGATCCATCCAAAAAAGTTATCAAAATTGATTTTGAAGGTCAAAGTCATTCTGAAAGTTGCTCATGGCTCATAGACCAAAGCTGCAAGCAGCCACATTGGTCCAAAGAAAATCCAGAAAGAAAAGCCATGTATTACTTTTTATTATGGTGAACCCAAATAGCAGAAAACACTTTTAAGCTTTTACATTTTTCCAATACCCTTCATCTGACTGGTTGTTAAAAGTGGGGAAGGGGGCCGCAGTGGAAAAAGCAGTTTCAGGTCCAGATTATAAGGCCTCTTGTTTGATCCAAACCCCTATCTATCAAATAACCAAATCAGGAGAGCAAAAAACTGTCAACTGGATTCACTGTAAAAATAAAGAAGGCTTTGAAGATCATCTGATGCAATAGCTTATTCCCACCCAGGTGTGTTCTGCGTGATTAATTCTGTCTGAAGCAATCATTACCTATCGTTAGTCAACATTTAAAAAAAACCAAGAGATTCCACCTTCTTTAAAGAATTTTTCCATGTTTGACAGTTAGGAAATGTGTCTTACAGCCCACATGTAAGCCTATTTATTCTGAAGGAACTTCCATGAACTTCAGTAGGGCTTACTCCCAAGTATATGCTTAGGATTGCACTCTTAAATCTTTTTCTGCTGGCTTGACTGTTTTCCTTCATGTGAAACTCATCAGATGCAATCCAGAAGCTATGCTGTTTCACTAATACTAGCTATGGAAAAAGAAATAATATTGTGGCCTCATGAATATCTCCCTCCTATAACTGCCAATGATAGATTAGTGACCCTGGAGACTGCCAGTGTTATTTCTTGTCCTACTGCAGTGGTAAAATATGGTAACTAGTTGCTGCCTTTATCATGAGCCCAAGGTACTTATCCTGTTTTGTATACTTTTTCATGAGGCTTCAAAAGGACCTCTTTGTGCACTTCAGCACTGATGTCGAACACATTCATTCTGTTTTGACTCATTCTAGCTTTTAGTGTTTTTGATGCAACAAACATGAAATTAAGCAAACTCAGGAGCACAACTGAAGACAGGAGGGCCTGGCATGATGTGGTCCATGGGATAGTGAAGAGTCGGACTCGACTGTGTGACTGAACAACAACAAAAAGTTTTACAGACAGCAAATCAAGTGGTTGATAATGTCCATGAGGTCCACCTGTTTTGGTTTTCACTGCCACTGTTGCCACAATGTTTGGTCCTTCACATCCTGTGAGTGCTCAGTTCAAGGAATCATATAAGCAAACCATTATTACTCTGGCTCTTCCAGTGTAAGAATGTAATGTAACGTAAGAAGGAACAGAGCAATACTTACAATGAAGGCTTTAATTGTTGCAAAGCCATCTCGAATTTCATTAATGTTCACTGAAAAAACACAAGGTCCAAAATAGAAAAATCTGTTCCCAATGACTGGCACCAAGTACAAGGCCCATGTTGTGAATAGAAGAAAGACAGATTGGCTGTAGAAAACTTTCATGGCACTGGAGAAAGACCTCTCTTTGGCTAAGATATTTTCCTGTTAACAACAAAAAAAAAGCTCCTGAATTATCTTGCTTTTGTGTCTTGACTATCGTATCAAGCTCTACCTAGGGGGGCATGAAACACAGCATATAGCTGGTCATCAGGAATTTGCACTCAGGAAATCTCTCCCTTATATATAAAGCCGTAGTGGGGCCCAACGTTCCAATTCACACCAACAGTGTTTGGAGGCTTGAACTGTCAGTCAGAAGATGCTGGCTGGGTTGCCTGGCTGCTTTGTGTAGTCCTGCCCACATCAGCCCCGGCCAGCTCAGTCTGCTCCGGGCCTCTGACAGGAGAGGACCATCTGCAGACTGAGCGCAGAGACGGGGCTTCTACAGCTGGGCCGCTTCAGCCCACTCTTCTCTGATTGGGCCAGTGTTTCAAGATCATTTGACAGGGCTCTTTTTGGGCAGGAACGCACAGGAACGGAGTTCCGGCTGGCTCCCAAGTTGACCACACCCAGCAGGAACTCATTAGCATAATAGGCCACACCCAACAGCAGAAACTCATTAGGATTGGCTACATTAGGGGTGTGTGGCCTAACATGCAAAGGAGTTCCTGCTACAAAAAAGCCCTGGGTTTTGACAACAAACAAGGTAAACAGAATAACAAGCAAAAAATGGGTGTAGCTGGATAACCACACTTCTGGTAACATGTGGGTGCAGCCTAATGTGGTAATGAGCTGTGCTGTCAGGGGTGTGGCCTAATATGCTAATGAGTTCCTGCTGTTGGGTGTGGCCTATTATGCTAATGAGTTCCTGCTGGGCTTCTCCTATAAAAAGAGTCCTGCATTTGCATATGGAAGCTGATTGGACTTCACTCCATTCCACACCTCAAAATCCCCCCCGCAAGAATGGTCAGTTGCATATGGGACCTGGTGTATTCTGAGGTAAAATATGTCCTCACTCACAACACATCACTTCCCCTTCAACAGAAACAAACCCAATAACACAATCATGCCACACCACAAAAAAGACAGATCACACCACAAGCAGAATACCACAAGGCAAAAAATGATAGGAAAAGGTGCCAGCAGTCACCCCATTACTGCCACAGATATGTACCAGAAAGCGCTTCAGAGGATGGTGTGCAGGTCCCAGGTTCATGTTTTAAAAGCTGCTTGGGGGATTA